AACTGGGACACTCCGGGGAAACCCATGAGAACATACAAACCCCACACAGACAGCACCCCAGATCTGGAATTGACACCAGAGCTCCAGTGCTAACCACAGTGTCACAAACCCGTTAAACAAAAAATATTATAACAGCCTGGAAACATCCTCAACTTAAGCCCTCAGTGTAATTTCTTAAAGAGCCTGAAAAATAGTTCGATCTAGCTCATATATATTCTTATCAATATCATTTGATAGTCATATATACCACATTCACATTCATTAAGCTGTTGCTCAAAAGCAAAAAACTAGTGCTCGACTGAACAACATCTTTAATCAAAGCACAAAAACCCAAAGTTATATTTCTCTTTCCATGGAAGGGTATCTGGGCTGGTTAATGCCAGCAGCTGTATCACATCCCACTGAAGCTCAGCAGGTATGACCTCCTGGGAAAGCTAAGGTTGCTGCTGCAAGAGGTGTTAGGGGGCCAGTAGGGGGCGCTCACCCTGTAGGCTGGGTGGGTCCTAATCCCTCAGTATAGTGACGGGGTCACTGTACTGTTAAAAAGGCACTGTGCATCAGATGGGCCATAAAAACCGAGGTCCTGACTCTCCGTGGTCATTAAAAATCCAGAGGGTGTTTCCCAAGTAGGTGTTATCGCAGCATCCTGGCCAAATTTCCCCCCGCCTTTACCAATCATGGCCTCCTAATAATCCCCATCTCTGAACTGGCTTTATCACTCTGTTCTCATCCCCACTGAGAGCTGGTGTGTGGGGAGCGTACTAGTGCACTCTGGCTGCCGTCACATCATCCAGGTGGTGTTGCACACTGGTGGTGGAGGGGAGTCCCCCCCATTAGTACTTTGAGTGGAGTGTCCAGAAAAGCGCTATATAAGTGTAAGGATTATTATTAATGTCTCCATTGCCTACAAAGTTTGTGCTACTCTGTCTCCACCTAGTGGATAAAATGAGTACTGCGTTTTCACTGCCTCCTACATTCAGTAAGTTTCTCAGAACAAAATGTGCTTGGAATTTTAATAAAGTAATTACAAAACATCTAAGCTACAGACTGAGACAGCAAAGAAAGGAGCAGAGAAATTCAATTACATTTTTTTAAATTATTTAATGTTTTAAGAAAACTGGAGTCCAACAAAGAGGAATGCAAATGGCAAGAAATGAAGAGGAGCTCTAAAAGACATGCAATGATTAATAGAGTACAGTAGGCCTGCGGCAGCACAGTAAGGGTTAGAGATACTGCCTCACAGCTCTTTGATCCTGTGTACCCTTCAGTATGGAGTCTGCATGTTCTTATTGCACCTGCATCATTTAATCCTGAATTTCACAGATCTGTGGGCTTATATACCTCTGAGTGCCCTGTGTGGAATTTGTATGTTTGCATGGGTTTTCTCCCACAGTGCAAAAACATACTGGTAGGATAACTGGCTTCCGGGACAACTGACCCCAATGTCAGTGTGTCTGTCTGCCCCGAGATGGACTGGCGTCCCATCCAGGGTGTACCCTGCCTTAAGCTTGTTGCCAATCTGGACGGGCTTCAGCTCCCCTGTGACCCTGAACTGCAAGCAGTTAGAAAATAGATGTATGGAAGTAAGTGTTTGTGTCCTGTAATGGACTGGTGCTCTGTCCAGGGATTGTAGTCCTGCATTGTGCCCAGTGATGAACTATACTGGTGTCCTGTCTGGGCTGTGGTCCTGCCTTGTGCCCAGTGATTAACTATACTGGTGTCCTGTCTGAGCTGTGGTCC